GTGCTACGCCAGCGACGTGGCCAAGACCAAGGCGTCCAAGGCCGTTGCGCGGCTGCGCATGGGCGGCTCGGGCCTCTGCACGGGCTGGCTCTTTGGCGCGGACGGCTACCTGCTCACCAACAACCACTGCATTGGCACGGCGGCGGTCGCGGCGAGAACGTTGGTCGAGCTTGGTGCGGCCTGCGCGACCTGCAACGACCCGAGGAACAACGTGCAGCTGGCGTGCACGGGCACGGTCGCCGCGTCAAGCGTCGAGTTGATCGCGACAAGCGTCGAGTTGGACTTTTCGCTCGTCAAGCTCAACCTCCTCCTGGACATGGACCTCTCGAGCTACGGGTACCGGTACCTTCAAGCACGTGAGAGCCCGCCGACGCTGCACGAACCCGTTTGGCTGGTGGGCCATCCCGGCGGCAAGCCAAAGCGGATCGTAACCATCACGGACGGCGGCACAACGGGCTCGATCGTGTCGCTGAACGTCACCAACAGCTGCCGGAGCAACGAAGTCGGGTACCTCCTCCACACGCAAGGCGGCTCGTCGGGGTCACCAGTCCTGAGCCAGCGCGACAACAGCGTCATTGCACTCCACAACTGCGGCGGCTGCAGCGCCAAGTCGCCGTCCAACGCCGGCATCCCGATCACACGCATCCTCGCGTATCTGCGATCGAGTGGCGTCACGCTGCCACCGAATGCCATCATGCCAACGCCAACGCCGACACCGACGACTACACCGACACCGACGCCGACATCGACGCCGATTCGACTTTGCACCACCTCGAACCGCGTTTTGTACGAGTACGACGCGAGCCTGTACCTCGGCAAACTCTACTTTCACACCAACGACCAGTTCGAGTTGGACGAATCGACCGGCGCGGTCCGCGCCGCCAGCAACGGCCAGTGCTTGGACGCGTACTTGGACGGCAGTAGCTACCACCTCCACACGTACGTCTGCGACGCGTCCAATGTCAACCAGCGCTGGACGATCACCAACGGCCAAGTCCAGCACCGCACCCACGGCCTCTGCCTCACGACGGTCGCGGGGGCCAGCGCGATCGGCGTCGCCGACTGCGACACCAGCGCCGAGCGTCAGTGGATCTCGCCCACCAATTGCCGGGCAAAGCAAGCGCGCAGTGCATCTGTGCTAGGACGTCGACGTGAGTGATCCGAGCTCAACGTTCGCAGGTCTGGACGGGCTACGCTGATAGGGTCAGCCAGCGCGTGGACGTCGTCGTCGTCGTCGAGTAGCCCACCTGAAGTGTCGAGCATCCGTTGAATCAAGTTGTTGTTGTTGTTGTTGGACCGAGTTATATTACATGCCATTAAAAAGATAATGCGGACTTCCTAATGCGCTCGTGAGGCGTGGCCGGAGGAGCGTTCGTGGTTCGAGATTGTGCGAGGGATCAGGTAGCGTGTACACCAAGGGTCGTCGCGAAGAGCGACCAGCGACGCGGCGAGAGATGGCACCACAGCGCGACGAGCCAAGTGCCGGACATGCAGTCGTGATTTAGCCTCAGGAGGCCGGCCAGGGACGTCGCCGACAGCTGCGGCGCGGTGTAGAGCGACCGACGGCGAGAGCTTGGTGCGTGCGGTAGTAGCCGCCCCGGATCGCCAGCGCAGCAGCGGGAAGAGGCATCAGCGTCGTGCGGAAGGTTGTAATCAAGTTGTTCGTGGACATGCAACCCAGAGCTGATGTGCGCAGATAGTCGCACGTTGTTGAGCGCAGCTCCTAGCTACCTCCTACCGCCACGTCAGCTTGGTGGTCAGCGCGATGGGCGTTACTCCTTCCTCACTTGGCCGGCATCTTGGCTCACAGACATCGGCTCATGCCATTGCAAGCTCATGTCACTGCGGGCTCCTGCGGCGGACCTCGCCATGGTAAAATGTGCACCCATGCCATCATATCTTGAAATGCAGAGGTGCGATGGTGGTTGTGGGAGCTGGTCGGCCTGGGCTCAGTCAGTCTTATCAGCAGGATGGGCGCCAGCTGGAGACTTTTAGAATCAACGCCACAGATCTCATTCTCGCATTCACCTTCGACTATCGTCAAGCATCATGAACCTCACCGCCATGCTTCTCAGTCTTCTCTTCGCCGCTGTCTCGGCGCAGACGGCGCTGCGGTTTAGCACGCCCGTGCCCATCTCGCTCACGCTCGACGGCAGCGGTCCCGTGACGCAGGTGCTCTCGAGCGACCGCGCCACGTCGCTCTCGGTGCACATTGCGTCGATGCACCTCCCGCCCGGCGCGACGCTGACCATCGGCACGGAGGATGGCCGCGACAAGGTCGTGTACTCGGGCGACCTCCGCGACGTCTACTCGGCGGTCTTTACGCAGCCGCGGATCCTCCTCAAGTACTCGTCGCCAACGTACTCTATGAACAGCAGCAGTAATGCGCCGATCGTGACCATTGACACGTACTTTGCGGGCGGCACTGGCGGTGGCACCGAGACCATCTGCATGTTGAAGCAAGATACATCGCTGGCTAGCCTGGCCACGCCCGACGTTGTTGGCGCTTCCAACGACGTCTGCTGCACGATTACTCGCTACGTAGTAAATAGTACAGGCGCGATGGAAGAGACGCCGGAGGCCAAGGACCCTTGGAGAGGCCAAGGTTGTCCCAAAGTCCAACACTCGTCCAGCCGACGATCAGCAGGCGGCCAACCAACACCAATAATCACTCCGACACCACTGCTCCCAAAATTACATCCATTGACAGAGTCATCCTCGACCGGAGCCATCAGAGGCGGATTGTGCGGCGACA